ACATTTCTACAGCTTTTTCTGCTTCTTCCACAGTACGCATCGTCACAAACCCGAACCCTCGACTCCGATCAGTCACCCTATCGTAAATAACCTGAAACTCACATATAGTCAGTGTTAAATAATCCCTAAGAAGTCCAAACTTTTCGATCACAATCAGACGTATAAAACAATCTTCTCTATCCAAAAGCAATTAAAATAAGAAGTATTTTAAATCCAAGTACTCACCTCAGAAATTTCAACAACACCAGCCTGCTCAAAAAGCTGAGCCAGCTTCTCACTGTCCACATCGAAAGGCATATTCCCCACATACATTTTAGCTTCCTCATAAAGTTGAGAAACGCTGTCAATAACAATATCTATGCCATGTAAATTGCAATGGGAGCATTTGCATGATATGGAATAGAGTGTACCAAAGACAAGTTGAAGTGGAGTTGCAAATATAAGATTGATAATTTTTAGTATTTTTCGAATAGACCAGACAAAGACGAGAAACTTTAGAGCACTAAATTTGTATGGTACTTGCAGAAGATGAAACACTGTGCCAGCTTTGGAAATGAAAAAATACATTGCTAAACAGTGGTATATTAATATACTTGGACTTTTGAACATATTTGAATGAGGTATAGCGACATTAATTGATTTTTTCTTTTTAATTCGGTAACTAACAGATATTTTAAGGGTCTGCTTCTGCAGGCTGTATGACATATTCCACAAAATGTTTCTGCACTTTCCAGCATTTGATTGAATTAGAGTTCAGAAAAAAATTCAGAGGAAATCATTATACACCCTATGAGGAGAAAGAAACTTGCGGAATTTCAAGAGATAAATCGTTCTTTAATAACTACAATGCCTGACCACCGAATATGCTTGGTTGTACTTAAAAGTTGCTTTTCTATAATGTTACTTGATAAAATGCAAGTTTTTGTTAGGGGAAAAAAAGGTAATTTTGAAGAATCATTTCAGAAAACAAAGTACATTTCAAAAAAAGTAACTTCGAAAACCTAAGTTTTCAAAACATGCTGTACTGCACCTACTACCACGGCTCATGACCACCTCTTCAATTGCACTACTCTTGCTTCTATGCCACCTTCTATAGTTAGGGTATCTTATACAATGCTGGCAGTGGAGGTGGCTGTGATTGGCAGTGGTGATTATGCCACACAGTAGGTGATATCATACAATCTAAAAAAACTGAGGAGCAATAAAGCTGAGCTATAGCATCAAAGCAAAATCTTTGGTAGTTTCTTAATTTGTCACACTTATTGTACTATGTTTCCGACATAATCATGAAAGAAATGCAACCGCGAAAGCAAACTGTTATGATACCCAACCTATTTACATCTAGGCATGACTCAGATAATCCTTCAAATATTAAAACTTTTCCTATTACTCTAGCCCATCCAATCTCTAATTCGAGAATTAACCGCTGGCCAGATTATTAGTCCATGTATTCTTCCATTGAAGTTTCTGATTTTTCATCATAATTTGCACGTTGTCAAAAACACAAAACAAGGCCAAAATTCATGTAACAAACCAAAACAACATGCATTCATCTAAATATGCAATTCATCATTTCTTTTTCTTGAAAATGATTTTAGGAAGGTCCAAAACTTACATAACGATGGAACATTTCTACAGCTTTTTCTGCTTCTTCCACAGTACTCATCGTCACAAACCCGAACCCTCGACTCCGATCAGTCACCCTATCGTAAATAACCTGCAACTCACATATAGCCAGCGTTAAATAATCCCTAAGTACAAACTTTTCGATCAAAATCAGACGTATAAAACGATCTTCTCTAACCAAAAGCAATTAAAATAAGAAGTATTTTAAATCCAAGTACTCACCTCAGAAATTTCAACAACACCAGCCTGCTCAAAAAGTTGAGCCAGCTTCTCACTGTCCACATCGAAAGGCAAATTCCCCACATACATTTTAGCTTCCTCAGGTGGCTCCACATAACCATCACTCTCGTCACCATCCTCAACAAACTCTACAACGTCATCACTCCCTTCTCCTACTTCAGCTTCCCCTTCAGATGTTTTTTGATTATCCCAGTTAAAATTTCCTTGGAATTCTTGTTCTTCAACAAGTACTGGGTTGTTCTCCTCTTGCAAAGCAGCTATTACAGAGAACCTCAAATGGGGTGTTTTCATTTTAGGAGTGGACAAAGATAGATGAAGTTTTACGGGTTTTAGTGGGATTGATATATTTGAGTGTGAAAGTGAAACTTTTGCTTTGGTGAAGAGTGATGGCACTGAAATTAGGCAACCATTGGTTGCCATTGTTATAGGCTTGGTAGCACAAGACATTATATATAGATGTGTCTGTGCAGAGGAAAGGAGAAAAACGATGAAAAATGGGGATTTTCGAGGGGTTTGAGGATAAGGAAAGGGGTGAGCGAAGGGAGAGGAGGGAAGTTTTGACGAATGGTTTCACGTTGCTAAAGCGGCGGATGGTCCAAAGGCAACGCTGGGTTTTATGATATTTTTTGTTGCTCTCTTTCTTCGGCAAGGGTGTGGTGTAAATTGGGTCGGATCGGGTTGCATTCTTGTTTGACCCAACTGACTTGACTCGATTTGAGACGGACTCGTTTACAGAGATTGACCCAGAATATTGCCCCAGCTTGGTGTCATAAAAATCAGATTTTTAATAAATTTAAATAAAAAAAATTGATAAAAATTGTGGATCCGTAAAATGTGTCATTAAAATTAATTATTGATTTTGACTTAAATATTTATCAACTTTTTAAACTATACCAAACCAAGCTTCGGGTATTCCAAGACATCACCAAAATAGAACATTCCAAATTACTTTCAGAAGGATTATTTAAAAAAAAAACATTCCAAGTTGTGTGTAAACCCCTTTATGGTAAATTATATCGAAAATGTTCTTCGAATTTGATAATGCCAAACATGAATCTTCATGAGCCCCTGTTTTAAGACCATTAGATCAAAACTTTTTTTTTCCTCCAAATTCATTTTTAACCACATATTTACACAATAAAATATTTTGCATGTGAACCCAAATTTTTTTTCTACTTTTTAACCACACATTCTCTAAAAAATCACTATTCTAAAACTCATTTTCTCAAAAAAAAAAAAGATAAAAAAAATTAAACAAAATGATAGTCAAACATTGACAACTCTTCATCCGCAAAGAATTCTTAATGTGAAAACACAAAGTCAGTGGCTGATCTTTAGGGGCTAAGACTGCATTCACCTCCTAAATACTATCAACAACCGGTTATTCGTGTCATGGGTAAACTCTTCTTTCTTTCCATCTACCATTTAATAGCTCAATTTCGTAACCTCATACTTCAACTCTTACTCCGCATCCCAAATAATCCGAGCATAAATTTTCAATCGTAACCCAGAGTTGTCATATCAAAATCTATGCCATTTATTATTTAAAGTGCTGTAAAGATCAATGTCTAAAAAATGTCACCTCATAAGAATGTAAAACTTAAAGTAAAATTTAATGTACATGTAGTTTGATCTTTTCATTAAACACATGCAGACTTTGTTTGAACCGCATTTTTTTTTTTTGGAAAACATTGAGTTTTGTAATAGTGATTTTTTTTGGAGAATGTGTAATTAAAATATAAGGAAAAATTTTGAGCTTAAATACAAAATTATTTTATTAGGAAAATGTATTGTTGAAAATAAATTTGAAAAAAAAAATGAATTTGTAGAAAATAAAGTTCAAATATGGACGTAATACGATACTTGATAGTATCCACAAATTCAAAGGGATAATCCCGTTTAACAATTAGGGTCCATTTGTAGGCAAAGTTGGAAATGAATTTCAATTTCATGTTAGTTAAAAAAGAAAAACTTACCATACTCATAGGACTTCGTTTTCCATGAAAACAAAGAAAATGTAGTTTAAAATGGTTGTACTTTAGAATTCGATTTTCGTTTCTACATTGCAATCAAGCGATCAAAGTATAATTCATTTTTCTCGGACGTGACGTTTTTCATGGAATTCGTTGCAATCACCTTAAGGTGATTTATTTACTTGTCCTTATCGGAGAGATGGTTAATATTTCACACTTAACGGTACGCATGGACACTTCATTTCAACCTTTTTTGAAAATTTTAGAAAGAGATCCTTCAACATAAGAATGTAAAGTTAGTTAAGAAGTCTGGATTGAATTAGACGGGGTCCAAAATAAAACTATCACATATTCATCATGTTGAATTAGATAATACTAAAATATTATTAAATAATAAAAAGAAGTTAATATGTTTTCACTGCATACCAAACATGCACATAAGAGAGAATGAACCTACAAGAGTCGAAAGCATAGACAACAAAACCTTTTATAATTTTGAAGTATTATTGTCACTCTAAGATTGTGATTGTTCGAGTTTACCATGTTCGTTTTGAAACGGTCTATTGCTCGTCATTTTTTGTGGAAGACTTGGTCGAGTCAAGTACTCAAACTCCAATCCTCTTGAACTCTTATTGCTCTTGATTAAAGACCATCCAAGTTTATCTCCTCAATTTGATCCTATAAAATTTAATTGTTGTCGTAGAACAAATCTTTTTATGCATTTGCTTATGAATTTTGTAATTAAAAAAAAAAAAACAATAAACGACAATACAAAGAATCTTTAGAACTATTCATACAATTGAAATATTGGTTTCAAAACCTTGCATCATCAGTTCCAATCTGCAAAATAATCTTAATTCCACCGAACTGGAATATATTTTAAACAGAGATGCTGAATGCTTGTAATCTAGACAAATGAGATAACTGAGGATCTTTATGGAGGATTCAACAAGATTCACAAGCTTCCTTAATCAAGTTCATAGCAATTTCATCGATTCTGACAGTTCCTTGAGTACACAATATTAGACTAAATAATACCCATGCAGCACATCACCAGATATTATGCATAAATAGTAACTCTGAATACAAAACTGTCATCCAAACAGAAATGCACAGAATGTTCGATTCAAAGGCGAGCTAGATGAGGTTTGATTTCCAGAATCATAAAGAGATATCTTTACCAAAGAGTTCAGTTATTCCCTTGGCAGGGTCTTTCTGTTTAACAATGGACTCTCCAACCAGCACCTGTAGAAATCGTAAAGAAAGATTGTCGGTTCAAATTTGCATAAACAAAACATAACGTTTTCCATAAAAGCTGAACCCGAGCTGTAGTCCATGCCCAGAAATGATAAAACCTCTTATATTGAAATAAACTTCATAGGACGTGATATTGTTGTGTGGTCAAATGTGGAAATATCATGGCAACCGAGTCCTAGTGCTACATAAATCTTTAAAAGACCGCAATCTGCATGTGCATGTGAATATGCTTACTCGGACATGACCAAAGAAACCTCCTCTGAACTATTTAGCAATGTTTTTAAACCCGACTCAAACATTGCCAGAAAAGGTGAAGAATTGAGGGCCAAAGATTTAGCTGAAGTTTAACCAGAGGTCAAAATGTTAATAAACAAACACAAATGCATTGTTAATTTCATCATATATAAACAAAAAGCATGTTTGGGAGTTGTTTTGGTTTAAATTATAGTTAGATAGAAATCAGTGATGGATAAAATTCTTTGACCGATTACAAACAGCTGCTAAACTGCACAAAAACTGTATCAATAACCAAATATTAGGTTCAATAATGTTAATAGTGTTCATAATAATAGAGGATGATGTATGTCAAGGTCGAATTACTCAAAAAACTGTACTCTCTCTCTCTCTCTTCCCCTAAAAATTATAGAAATGCAATCAAGAATTCAGTGAACCAATGGCTAAATCATTGAGCTGGATGCTAGTTGACCGGGTTTCATCCTGGGTTTGTAAGATATGATTCTTAAGCAGTACTTGGATTGATTTCTGGGTCCCATTCCCAATTTTTTCTGGTAGAATCGATTTGAGACGGTCTTGTTTTCAAGAAACTGCTATTTAATCGAGAGAAATAAAATGCAAGAATAGTTGGTTGTTTCTTAATTGTCCTTCAATTACACATTCTCACAATAAAATATTTTGCACATAAACCCAAAATTTTTCCAACATTTTAACCACATTCTCCAAAAAATCACTATTCCAAAACTTTTTTTCCCAAAAAAACTCTTTTTAATGGGCATCAAACAGGAGCTTAGTTTGCCTGTCTGTTTCTTTCTTTCTTCTACTACTAATCTTTATCTTAGGCATGTTGTCCTTTTAAAATAATTGTTAGGTGTTCTTAATTAAGATGACAAAAGAAAAGAAGGGTATATATTTCCCAAAAAGTTTTCAATCAGCAGAACTCACAGCTTTAACACCAGCTTCTTGTACATAGGAAATATCATCAGGAGTAAAAAGTCCAGATTCCCCAACAACCTGAAGAATTTGAATATTAGAGGTAAAAAAATATTATTAAGGTGGAACATCATTCACTAAGAAAGGAAAAAGAGATGATAAAATGTTTGGCTAAGCTTGAGAAAATACAAGTTACTTTCTGAAGAAACTTTTGTTTCCAAACATTTTTGGATCTGTTACCTTTTCTTACAAGTCATAAAAGTTATTTATATTAAAAATAACTGTGTCAAAATAAAAAACATACTCATTTCAAACTTGAACCAATTAAAAAATATATATTTAGCTAACTTAATTACTTACAAGTATCCTTTTAAGCTTAGCCAAACATGCTTCATGTACAGATGATGCTAGGATTTACTCACTGTTATCCCTTTCTGACGGATCCTTTCACCACGATCACCTTCGAGAAGCTTTTTTGTGTTACTAATATCAACCTTAAATGTTTCTGCAAATTGGTCGAGGTAAACTCTCTTAAAAAAAAGTCGACAATGAATCATACTACACAGTTAGTAAAATAGTTTCATCATCTCTATCCTCATGAGTGAGTCTACTGAACATCCAAAGCAGTGACATCATTCCCAATTTGTTCACTGGTCAGGAATTAAAACCATTTTAACTTAAAAGCTACAGTAATGACAAACAATTTAATTCGTGCCATACTGATAGAATAATACTTAGAAAAGCACTAAGCTATGCAACGAGGAACCACTCTGAGGAAATAATACCAAAATTATAATGCCACAGAGCAAGGCAATGATAAAGCTTCAGCATTAACCAATAAGTACATCTTCCTCGACAAGCTAAACACAAAAAATAACTCAAACACGCTAAAACTATAAAATGATCAACATACACCGAAGTTTCATGTCAGTCGTCAAACTTTGTTTTGCTCCAAAGTGGCAGCTGAAGTTTGTTTTTTGTTTCAGTTTGGTCACTTTTTAAATTCTGTTAATTTTTCTAACCACGTGTATGGCATGGAAGACATCCATGTTGACGCCACATTACATTGTCCTCTGCCATGACAGATATTCTGTTAAAAAAACTAACAGATGTTTATTATGTAACCAAACTGAATGAAAAGGTAAACTTTCGTGACCACTTTAAAACAAAATAAAGTTCAGTTACTAACATGAAACTTGACTGTAAGTTGAGTGACTAAAAGCATTTTTAACCAAAAATACTTCATATAGGTATAGTATTTGGTCATAACTCTACACAATTAATTGAAGCCAGAAAGTACCAAGGTCTCGATTATTGATGCCAACAAGTTCAATCCCATCTATTTGGAGGACACGATCCATCTCTTTCTCATCGTGTACCTATAATATGAAGTACCAGAAGAGAGGCCAAGAGTTGCAATTATGGAGATAATAGCATATCATTTCACTCGCCTCATAAGATTTAACAATGAATATCCAGGCAAGTATGTCTAGCACGCATCTAAGATGCAGAAAATGAGCATTACATAACCCTTGCACTAGACAGGTTTTTCTCGAACGTTGGAAGAGCATAGAAAGATAGACAAACTTACGACATACGTCACTTCTTTAGCAACCACGAGAATGATTCGCCGATTAAAAAGTTAACTTACAAGAAATGAGTAACTTCAATAAATAATATTTTTCATTGGTGAAGTTGGAAATTAGTAAGTCACTCATTTTGACATGAAGTTAGAGGTATTTTCAAAAAAAAGTAACTTTTTTACTTTAAACTTTAAATTAAGGTATCAAATATGTTTTAAAAGTAGCTTTTACTTTTTGCCTATTAAAGCTGAGACAGACGTGCTCACAAATCTAACTGGTTTGAGCTTAAACACAATTTTCAAAGATGGTCATACGACACAGATTTTTATCAAGGACTTTGATGATCATGCAATGAATTCAGTAACAACATGGAAGTACGAGGAGTACTCTATTTGAGACAACTCGTGGGTCTTTAAGATCATCAAGTGTTTTCAATCTCTAATGAAGTGGGTGTGCCAGGCTAGAGATGTTAACGACAAAGAGCAATAGCCAAACCTCAACCAGTGCTGCCAACCCAAGCAATTTGCAGATCTTGGTCATATATTTGATGTCAAGATCTGGTAAAACACCCGCAATTAATAGAACTGCATCTGCACCTTTAGTTCGAGCATGGTAGATTTGCCAAGCATCTATTATGAATTCTTTACACAGTAGAGGGCACTACACACATTGTACAAAGTCAGTAAAGAAATATGAATAGAAATATCAAGCTTGTATTTTGAGCTACAAGGCGAAAAAATATTGGAAGTGGGCATACCTTTACTCCAGAATTCCTTATGGCCTCTAAATTTTCAAAGCTTCCCTTATTTGGTACAGAAAAGGGAGTAAGTGAAAATGATATTTTGCAGTGAAACAAAAACCAACAAACCTTGAAAGAAACATACCTTATCGACATAGCAATATTTCCTAGAAGCAAAAGTTTTGAGTTCTAAAAAGTTGATTTTTACCTGGAAATACTTCTGATCTGTCAAGACACTTAGGCATGCTGCCCCACCTTTTTCATAAGCTTTAGCAATCTCAACCTGTGGAGTGAAATTATTCAAAAGAATGATATACTTGTAGAAATTTCAACAGTCTACAGAAACATTTCTAGGAAAACTGAACAGAGGGTGAACAGTTTCTCCTGGATGTCTTCATAGGTTTGGGAAAGAACTGCAAAATACGTATTCTGTATTTGGAGAAAACACCACCAGAAAGCAGAATCTTCATTATTATCATTAAATGCCACTATATAAATTCAATTCATATTATGAAACGTCCAAACATACATCGTAGGGGGAATAAAAGGAAAATAACATTGTTATAAATTTCTCTAAATTTTGCAAAGAATCACAGAGGGACTTAAGGAAATAAATATTTGAATTAACTTCTCAATGAATTATGTCATTTTCCTCCCATCTCTCTATCCTTAAACCCTTATGAGTTAGAAGCCAACACACCCTATATTTCTTGTCCCTGGCAGCAATTAGCACTCTAAACTTAGCTTAAGTTGGAGGACCAGGACCCCATGCTGCTTATTCATGTACTGAATTCAATGCTTACTCCCAATCAAAATCATTACGCAGTAAATAGCTGATTAAGTTGATTATTTGACAAAGCCTATCTAGCGCATAAGAAACAAATTATCAAGCATGGATTTTATTTTATTTTATTTTATTTTTTTGTTGCTTATCATAGTAAAACAAAGAGAAGATTTGTTGCTGGAAGTTCATCATGCTAAAGAATTGTTCTTCTTTTACGTTATTGATGTACACATGCAGAAATATCCTACACATTGGTGATAAGTACTTGCCTTCTACTTCGTGAATAAGAAAAATAAGACATTTCATCTAATTTTGTCAATTTCAATGGTGATATAGTTGGAAATTTCTTCTATTACCACTGTCAAAAATTATAGAAATCGAATCCTTGTGCACAGAACACCCACAATTGTGATGCCACCATCTGAGACAATAATTCAAAATAGGAATCACTTATACCCTGTGTAACATAATTTTCTGCAATATTTACTTCCGCTAGTACCCAGACCATGCTCATCAAAATATATTTACATTCCATCTGGAAAAGGTACACCACTTCATCACAAACGAAATTTCCAAATTCCAGGGGCAAGGGAAAGTAAATATATGTCTACATCTAATGCCAATTAACATTGCAAACTTACAGGATCAAAATCTTCTCTAAGAACTCCTCTACTCGGAGAGGCCTTTTTCACTTCAGCGATCAGACCAGGTAATCCAGTTCGTGAATTTGCTGCCTTAAGAGCTCCAATAAAATCGCGAACAGGTGGAGCATTGTCAAGTGCTTTCTTCAACGTAAAAAGTGGTTTTCTCTCCTTCATCTACAAATCACTATCCAATAAAAATTAACACCAGTTTCAATTCTCGAGAGCATACCCCATCCCACATCCCACGCAACAAAAAAAATAAGAGAGAGAGAGAGAGAAGAAAATGTGCATGTATTGCCAGTTCAACTGTACCTGTGATACTTCCAGGTCCTTCTGCCATATAATTTCTTCGTCTTATAAAGCACCCCACAATGGGACATTCTGCAAGCGAAACTCAAAAGGACCCACATAATGCTGAGGAGGTCCACTTGGAGGCCGTCTCCTAATCCTTATCCCTTGACTTGCAGCTACTTCATTTTGGAACATCCCCACTTCCCACTCTTTAACTTTGAGTGCATCTCCTTCAGAAATTCTAGATTCCGATACTGTGGCTGATCCATCTTTCAATTCAGACTAGAAAGGGCAATCAAATTGCATTTTAATCTCTCAATAATTAACATAAAGTTCATAACTTTCAAGCATTTGCCCCATTTTTTTTGCAGCTAATTATCACTTTAAGAATTTTTAAACAAATCAATTCTTTAGTACTATAATATTCTTTACGCGAAAGAACACTTCAGCGATAAAATTAACTAAAACCCCCACAAAAGAAGCAACCCGATATAATTTAAACTCACAGTACGTTCCAATTCAATAAGACCCATCAAATATTACACACTCGTATGATAAAATTTTATGTATGTATATGAATATAAAACGATGAATAAAATTACCTGCTGTGCCTTCAAAATGAGGGTGGAGATTTCCCTATTGGGAGTGTGACGGGGCATAAGGGTCTGTTGCATAGGCCTGAAGAATGTCGATTTTTTAAGAAATTGTTGAGAAGAAAATCTTGGTTTTGCAGTTGAAGACGATGATAATACTTTCAAACTTTCCATGTATGTATAATCTCTCCCGGAACTGGAACTGAAACTGAAATTCACTATATGTGGGTCTGTGTGGAAAATTAATGTTAAAGGAACGGAATGATTTCTCTTGCGGCGGCGACTAATTTGATCCAATTCATTTTGTATTTAGATATAGAAGAGTTGGAACAAGAAGGATTTAGCACTTACAATTTTACTAATTAATAGAAAAATTGTTGCAGGTGCGTTTTTATGAAAAAAATGTTTGCATCCAGTGAATATGTTGAACACAAAATTAAGCCCATGTATCGTTTGGCTAAATATCAAAATTTTGAGTAGAATTTGATCAAAAATGATCAAACGCGTGATAGAAAAATTGATAAAAATTGCGACTCTCATAAAATGTGTGATTGAAAATGAATTTGAAAAAAAAATAAACGTTAAAAATTTGGACCCAATCAGGAGCTAAAATACATGGTTCAATAAGGTAAACACGAGACAATCCTTATTCTGTCTCACGTAGCTCATCGAGTGCCACCGACAACCCAACAATAACTATTATCAGGGTTGCTTTCCAATGGCATTGGACAAGTACTTAATTATATAATTATATACATGTCTATTCCGATGCATTATATATTTCATAAATTTCAGTGTTAATGGAATAAAAGTTATACATTGTCCTAATCAAAGAACGAAACACAATATTATTTTTTACTTGTAAACTATAATACAACACAATACAATACAATACAAATATACAGTCCCAGGCTAAATACGATGGTTCCAAGCATAAAGAATTATTAGTGTTTAGTTTATGAAGCAAACTGTTGTTTCCATCATGCTGCATGAAATTCATATGGATTAGAGATAGCATTGAGTTGCAACAGCCAAAAGAGGAACTTTTCTATGGATTGAAACAC